ATAGCACCAATCACAGCATAGTTTGGAGACTCTGTCTGTAGTTATGAGATTGGAAGCCCTTTTTTGATCACTCTGATATTTCCTTCAACTGGCAAGTTCAGAAGATGATAGCGTGGGATTGCTGCTGAATGCCCTGTGGTATCCATTAGGGACGCAACTTTTGGGTTAAGACAAATGGGCTCTGAATGGAGCTTTTAGAATCTTTCATTAATTCCTCAATGTTTCATTTTAACAAATGAGAAAACACAAATGCTTCAGATCCTTTCATGTTTCCCTTTTTCATCCTTTTCCTTTGCGTCTTTGTTTATCCAATTGTCCTATTGAAATCTTTAAACAAAGCATCAGGAGGATTGCTGGCAGCAGCCAATCAGAATGTCCCAGGAAGAGGGAGATTGGATTCGTAGAAGGGCTTGGACTGGCTGAAATCCAGTGAAAAATGTTCTTTGCTTCAAGTCCTTCCTTGTGGTGGGATGAGTGCTGCCAAGCTCCTGACCATCTTGATTGTGCCACTGTCTGTGCCTGTGGATACTTTTTGCCATTTTCCTGGACATTGGCATGAATCCCCATTTCTTAAGATTATGTTTGCTGCTGCCATTAGGCAGGTTGCCTGTGGTGCTAGTTTGCCCCCTTGTGGTTGTTTTTCTTACTCCCTTTCCCCATCTTGTCTATTTGGCCTTTATTTCATTCTTTCCTTTTCTTGGTTTTGGGGAGAGAAGTAAAAAAAATTTTTGCTTTCTCCCCTCCCCCCCGGCAACCATTCTTTTAAAAAAATGTGTTAAAAGGTTAATTAGGACTTTTGGACAAGTGCCAGATAGAACACAAGTGGGGGAGATGAAACAAAATTTTCAGGAGTACATGGGGGGAAGTGACTGGCCCTGAAACATTTGATGGCTGGACAGCCGTCAGTTGGCAGTGGTCTAACTCCTACATCTGACTTCCTGCATTACATAGGGTTCAATTAGAGTGAGACTCTGGAAATCTGACTGAAACCTCAATATATCATCCTTTCCTTTCCCCCCCTCCAAATGCTGGGACATAACTCCCTCAAAGATGACTTCATCCTCAACAATTTTCTTGATCAAACTGTAAGAGCAGGTTGGAGAGTGAACAGAAGACTTTCAGCATAGAAAATCTACAGCTCTGTGGACCATTTGGGCATGAATACCTGCTGCTCTGGAGCACAAATGAGGGGCAGGGTTGGTCCCACTGTCTGTGGAAAATTATGTCCCCTCCTCCTAACCAAGTTTCTGATTAATGATCATTCATTCCTAATTGTCAAATTTCCTTTCTTTCATGTGCTGTCTAATCAGCAATGACAGAAGTCATTACACAAATGAGAGCAGACGACTTACCACAACTGTTGGCATCGGTAAAAGCCTTGTAATTTAAAGCTCCGATTTGTAGAAGAAAGCTGTGTTTCCCCAAGGCATATGGGCATCTGTTCCTGTTATTCTGCAAAGATCCTCCACTGCCCCTCCCTCCCCTGTCAATTAATCCTCTGCTTGCAACAAATATTTGACTTTGTGAGGCAGTAATTAGAACTTAGGGTTGCAGTGTTTGTCATGGTGAGACGGAAGCTTTAGCACCAACTCCACCATTCCTCATGCAGGGACTAACCCATCAAGATGAAGCAATGAATTACACGTTGGGGACCAAAACATTTCTAAATGTCTAAAAAGAAAACTGCTGATATTCTTAACCAAGACTACATTTAGGTCACACAGAAGTCTCTTTCCTGGTTAAGTGTCCATTGGATAATACATCGTAGGACAGGGATCTTGGACCCATTCCCAGCAGCCCAACCTAATCTGGCTAATAATAAAGGACTGAGGCAATCCAAAAACATCTGGAGGGTATCTCTTCCCCTGCAACACACTAATATCCATGAAATCTTTTCTAGACCCTCAGATGTGACAGAGTCAGCCTCTCATTGGGCTGTTCTGGATAGTCTTCTAAACTGCTTTAGAACTCTATACAGAACATCACAACAGTTGAAACCTCTCCCAGCCCTTCTCTCTCAAATCAAGAGCACATCTAAGGAGCTTCACATCTTCCCTCAAGTCAAGAGCACAGCTGCAAGCTAGACACATTGTCTTTAGACACTGCGGTTGAGGAGCCCCTTCGATATAAATATACACTAACAAGCACTCCCTGCTTCCTTGAACATAGTAACAGATAGAATTGCAGCACTTTATTTCCTTTGCATGAGAAATACAGAATATTCATGGTTGTGCTTTTATCTGTTTTGTGTCCTTCAGCAATATATGCACCTCCAGAGGCCAAAACCTTCCCACAGAACTGAATTGCTTAGGCTCTCGCAGCTCTTTAGTACAGCCGCACTGATTGCTCTTTCCCGCCATGTCACTCGAAGCCTGAAGATGTTGATTGCCAACTGCTTTCTAGCTGTCTTAAGACTGCAAGCCCACACGTCACAAATTGGCAACCTGAGCCTTCCTTTCCCTGTGAAGATGTTGAGCTGGAATTGGGAGATGCAGGTTTTATTTCCCATTGAGCCACGAAACTCACTAGGCCACCTCTTCTCCCTCTCAGCAGATAACAGAACTGCATTAATCACTGAGTTCAGTGAAAGGAAGATGGGGTATAACTTTCTTATGCCAATAATGGAAGATGCAGCAGACTTTCCCTTATGACTGAAGGTGGGATGGGGGCTCCTAGTCCTTTGAAGTTCTTCTTAAATATTATGGCAGGGCTTCTTGGGTAGTTCTTTCAACTTCAGAGAAAATTCATCTATAATTGACCTTACATGTGCATAACTCCATTAATACATGTTGCCCTGCTTTATTCTGTTTTACAATTGTCAACACAGGGAGCTAGTTAGCAAAGGCAACACTGCAAATGTTAGAGTATCTTGGATTCCCTCTGGCTAGCCAATGTATCTTGCTCCTGACAACTCTGTGCTTTCCTCTTCTAGGCTGGGTCGTCTACATTATTTCAACGACAGTTGAAGAATGAAGAGAATGGGATAGCAAAAAATCCTGGACATCAGCTATAGGAGGGGATCAACTGGAACCTTGAAAGCCTATCTGATGCATGATACTACTGATAAGATCATTGGTTTCTCAGTGAGGAATTCACCAGCCTGCAAGGGTCTTCCCCACAGGACAGCTTCATTACTAAGGACTGTCGATTTTGCAGTGCCAGACCAAGGAACAAGGTCACTAGAAGAATTGACTGTTAGGGATAACTCAGTGGTTCATATCCTGGGGCCCTCCAGATTTTGCTGTGCTGCATATTTTAACATTCTTCAGTACTGCCTATGCTAGTTCGGTCTGTTGGAAGCAGCAGACTTCATAACACAATGAGAAATGTAAAAAGGAAGAATGCCTGGACCAATATTCAGCCACTAAAAGTAACAAGCCAAAAAGCAGAATTTCACAAACTGGTATGAACTATACAAGCCAATTTTTCACCTTCGGACTGTTAATTCCCATGGAATCTAATACAGGAAACCTCTTTATTTTCATCCAGTAAGCTTCTTCCCAACCTCAACTTTTAAAAAAATTGTGTCAAGGTTCCTTCCACATATTTCTACTGAGTCATCCCTGTGTGCCTTACTTAAGAGATCTGCAGCACAAATACTGTTTTCTTAAAACAAACATAAAATCTCAAACATACACATGTTTTTCACTGGAATAAAATCAACATTCCTCATCTGACAAATTTTGCAGAGTTTTGAGATTTTTCTAATATTACCAAGTGAGGTAAATAATGTATTTCTCTGCAATCCTGATGAAGCTTTCGACTAAACAGAAGGAATGTATATTGTGTAGGACAAATGAAAATCCAGATTTCTCTCTTTCAATAATGGTTGTATTTCAAGAACTGCACTTCAGAAGCTATTATGCCTTCCCCACATTTTCTCATACATCACAGAACACACACACAGCTTTCCCAACACCATAGCAGGGCATCAAAAGCACAGGATTAAAAAGAACAGAGACAGTAACTAAATCAGTCCATCAGTGCATTGTAAACTGAGCTCTCGCACCAGTCAAGTGCAACAATTGTTTAAAAAATTGACTGTTAAGAAGCTTTCAAAAAGTTACACCTTTGGCAAAAAGAAAAAAAGAGATCCGAAGGTTGCATTTAAGTCCTGTCCTCTTCCTTCCAATGAAGTACCTGGCCCTTTCTGCATAGGCTCTGTGCAACAGCAAAGTCCCATAAGCAGCTCCAGTTCTGGGTGGCATTTTTTGGCTGTTATACGTCCAGGACACGTTTCACTAACATAGGAATTGCTTCTCCTTACAAACATAGGCAGACTGTGTTAATTGGTATTATCGTTCACCAAGTCCAGTATTGCTCTTCAGACGCCAACTCTTTCCTGATCTATAACAACCTTTCTGAAGAACACGGGTTTTCTACCACCTCCCTATTGCTTGTAGAATTCTAACAAACAGTAGGTTTGGCTTGTAACTGAGCTCCACGGTTCTTCAAATTCCTTTTAAAGACACTTACCTGACCCAATGGATTCAGAAACACCCAGTCTTCCCTAGTCCTTCAGTTACTGCATTCAGAATTCACAGTAAACGGTAGAAGTGGTCTTTCCCAAAAAGAGAACAGAAATGCCCAGGTGCTTTCGCAGCAAACTGGCCACACCTCCTCCCTTGCTGGGACAAGCAAAGTTTCTCCAAGTGATGTTTCCTCAAAACTCGTCATTTCATACAGAAGTGCCTCTTGAGCACCTGAGATCTAAAACCACCACTCATCTTGAAATTCTACAAGGGGGACTCTCATTCCTCTCCCACTTGGGAAAACAGCTTGGCATGAAGAATACAGGCCTCCACCATCCCCAGAAGCCCCTGCTAAAAATTGACACTGCAAATAACATTATTGCAGATCTGCTGCGATGCTTCCCTTCCCTACCCATCTATCCACCTCTTAAACGTGGCATGCAGAAGGCTGATGATGCAATGGAATCAACATTTCCATGCAACTACAAGAGGAAAAACACAACGGATGAGAGGGGTGTTTTGTTTTTTACCAAGAGCACTCACTGGAGTTTGTCCAAGGAACTGTCCTGAGTGGCAAAAAGGGGAATGATGCACAGGAGAATTTTTGCCTGGTTTTCTACCAGAATGAAGATACCCTTTCCCCCCTAATCTGACACAATGGGCTTGAAGACCATAGTATCTCCATCCCTACCTGCCGATTCACTTGTGGTTTAATGTGGTTTAAACTGAGAAGTTGTGCCATCAATCAGAAGGCTGCTTTTAACAAAATAAATCCTAACAGATACAATGATGTCACTTGCAGGTGGATGTTTTTTCCAGCTGAGTTTCTAATGGACACAGAGCGAATATGAAAATGATTTTTTTTCTAGTTACTTCTTTCACGCAGACGACTACAGAGATGCTCTTGCTTCTACAGTCTGAACAAAAAAGCAACCAGAGTATCACCTGGCCCAAGAGTCTCACTTCCATACTTGGGCTTTGTGTTTCCACATCCTCCCCATCAGATTCCCAGCTGAGGAATGAACCCAAGAATCTAAGATCTACTCCCTTCTCAAATGGATCAGGCAGGTACCAAACATCAAGCTCTGTAGTCTGACAAAAAGGAACCACAGAGAAGTGTGAATACTTCTGAAAGGTTCCAAGAAACTGAAAAGGGGGGGGGGTTGTGAATGGAAAATGTTATGGTGACAGTCATTCCCTAAATCGGTGCAGAGTGGAGAAGAGCTGGGCCAGGAGCCCCTCAGTCTTTAAGTGCTGCGTGCAATACTAGCGCTTGGAATCTTCCACATATCTGTTAAGCAGCTTCATCATCCATTGTTGTGGAGGCCAGTTAGTCATACCGCCCTTTAATCATCATATTCAACAGGGGACCCACCTGTACAGTACAAAAAAGAAAAGACACTGATGAGTATTTACAGAAATGCAGAAATGAACCAATGCTTTCATGGCCAAAATCTTTGCCAAGTGACAAAAGTGAACATCGCTGACATCAGCCAAAGAGGTGAACTTCTTTGGCAGTGACTGAAAAGCAATTATGTGTTCCCACCTATCTATGTATGATGAAGGAAAGCAGAAAAGGGGCTCACAACATATGGAATTCTTGCCAATTCCCTACTCTCCTCATTTAGAACAGTCGCTCTTAGGATCTTTATTCTTTCTTGTTAGTGTACCATAACAATGACACAATTTTTAATAAAAACTTTCCCAAGCATCTTCGTCAAACTTTCCAAACATGCATGTTTCTACTTGCTGCAAAACTGGGTCAGCCTATGTTCCAAACATGAAATTCAGAATGTGACTCAAAACAAATGGCAGGATTAATCAATCTGTCTCAATGTTTTACAGCAGTGGTTCCTAACCTTGGTCCCCAGAAGTTTTTGGACAAAAACTCCAAGAAGCCTTCATCACTAGTGGTGCTGACTGGGGTTTCCGGGAACTGCAGTGCAGGAACACCTGAGGACCAAGGTTAGGAACCACTGATATACAGAAGTATCAAATTACTAAGTAAATGCTGAACAAAATTAAGCCAGGAGCTTACTTCATTGGTGCAAAATACAAAAGATGCACCAAACTCTTTTCATTCTGTAAAATAAATTCTGTACTTCATGGTGTTCCCTCTCCATCCATCGCAAGGGTTACTCTTCTTTATTTCATTAGCCAGCCCATTCAGCAAATAATTAATTCACTTGATAAATGACCATCTGGTGCTCAAATTCAAATGATGGCACCATAACCAAAGGCAAATCCTATCAGAGCAGAAATCCAACTGCATTTTGCTAAAAGAATGCTATCAGAATAACCCCAACACTGCTATCCAGGTTAAGCTTCCAGCACCGTGACAAAAGAACAAGGTCTCCTTAGAATTCCATCACAAACATAAGGAACACTGGGCTGTGAAGATCTGCTGTGTAAACTCTGCCACTTCATTTCTTATAATAGGTCCCTGACTGTAGTTATACCTCTTGCGGGTTTCCAAGGGCCTCACCCAGCATTTTCTCTATGTTCCTCATTATAGCTACTTTCTGATGAGCCTTTAAGGGATACTCAATCCTTTTGGGAGTTGGGGCACCCTAGAAAACAAAAACACAAACATGCATTAATATTAGTCAAGAAATGCAGCATCAAACCCATAAACAGGAGTTTATCAGATCAGGCAATTTCCAGAAATTAAGGAGAAAACTCATGTCCTTGATCCAGAGGCAGCAAGAAGTTAAAAGGAAAAAATGAGGCCATACACGGTTCCTGTGTTTTAGGTACCTCTGCTGCTCAAGGCAAATAAAACACTGGATTGGGGGAAAGACACATATTCAACCAGATGTCAAACAGCCACTGTTCTAGAACTGTACAGGTAGCCGGCAACACACACAGATGTGGGAAATCCCGCCTTTTTAAACTCCAACATGCCCTTCCTCCAATTAGGCACCACAACTCACTGTTCTATAACAGGAAGAATGGCGTGCCTCACAAGAGTAATCTCTGTAGCCATAAAGAATATCATTTAGCAGAGGTGATCAAAATCCAGGACCCTCAAAGACACGTAAAACAGAGAGCTTAAGAGTACATCGCAGCCCAACCATGTTGCCACATTGTGGTACACAATCACTGCCATCTTAAGCAGCAGCTCTAACATTCCGTTCAGTCCATGCATGGAACTTTATTCTGTCAAGTCATGACAGATTAAACACTCACGTACCTTGTACCAGAAGTTCACAGTGATGGTAATTCCCCCATTCAGTAGAGACTCAATATGATGCCACCTATATGGAGTCACAAAAACAACTGCTTACACTCCCTCTTCTCTTTGCACAGTAAATGTCAGTCCTAACAACACCAAAGGGACAGTATCAATACATATTACTCAGCTGAGGTGCAGTTATTATTTTTAACCCTTTGGCTTCAGGAATATGTGTTCCTAATATCAGGGAAATATACAACTATCCATGATACTTTCTTACACAGTCTAAGTTAGATGGGCGACACTTCAAGAACCATACGGCCAGTCTAAGACAGAAAAAGCACTGCCAACTAACAATATTCTCATTTCCAAAGCTACCAACAAGTGTCAGGAAACTGTTATTTATCATCTCTTCTATAATAAAAGCTCCTATCACACAACTAAGTGTTTCCTTATATACCCTGGGCTAAAGGATGCATTCTCCTCTTTTTAAAATCATGACGGTGCCCAGAAAGATTAAATTTATATCAGCCTCACACATTATCTGAGGCACAAATATCACAGGCAGAGCCTCAATTTTCCTCCAGTGGCCAGCCATTCATACACCACCCTGTTCCATGCTCAATGTATGTTCATTACCAGTACATGGGGATATAAAGCACATCCCCTGGGCCCACAACAGTCTCATAGCCAACCACATTCTGAAAATTGGGAAACCTCTCGTAGTCAGGATTGTCGAAGTCAACCTAGCAAAACAGGAGAAAAGAACATATTACTGATGATACCAGACACATTGGAGACATGTAGCAGCCCTCCTGCCCGCCCACCCCCCAAATTATCTCAGACACCAAACTCAGTTAAGTTACAAGAAAGGAATAAGTTAGGTTTGCCTTAATTGTAAATCAGTACAATAATGAAAAGAATGTTAAAGACATGTACTAAACCCCATTGACCTCACTCCCCTGATCAAACAACATCCTGATGAAGTCATATTCATAAGATAGACTAATTAAAATAGTCCGCTCCAACTCTTGGAGGGTCCAGGGAGTTTCTGGTTGATATGGCCCTGGCAAAACAGAACAGGTTATCATCACGATTTCTCCTAAGCATTTTCTCCCTGTGGTGGTGAGACCAACAAGCTCCCTGGATTACTGGGAGGCTATAGGCAGGAAGATAACTAGAATGCAGACGGTACTACTCTTATAATAAATAATACCACATTATATCTATATTACAGGAAACTTTTCTCCCAAAGCCCAGAGTGTGAATTTGGACTACCAATCCATCCGCACCGCCCTCATCTAGAATGTGAGGAAGCCACAACTCAGTTAGCAACCTGGTTTCATTTTTGTTTTTCCCAGCTAGGACAAACACAGAAAAAGGCTGGCTTGCACCCAATTCGAGGGCTCAGCTGGCTTTGCTCCCCATTCTCACACCTTTCTTTATTGGGAGAGCTATGGCCGAACAAAGAGACCCCCTGAAGAAGGATTGTTTTCAGATACTCAGCAGATCTGAAATGATGCTTCCCAAGGGCTTCCACTGGTCCTACCCTTTCCTAAAAAATACTTTTTAAAGACTGAATGAAGCCAGCTGATATGGGGTGGAAGGGGTGGGCGGGATTAAAAGAGTGTGTATGTCGAGATGGATACAGAAAAGAATGGTGTAGGAAAGGCACATGTCAGGATTGCCCTCCTGGCATTGATACTTGATATTTTCTTAAAACCACGCTACAAAGTAAACATAGACATTATTCAGACTACCCCAAAGAAAGAATTTGCTTTAAAATACACTGCATAGGTTTAAATAATTTTTTTCCTAATTCCTTGTGTTTGTCTCCTGGCATCACTTCGAGTACCACCTTTGTCTTCACTTTTTTGTCCCTCCCCCATCACATGCCAACCTGAAACTAGTCTGAGGCTCAACCTGAAAAGGCTTCCCTGCCCCTAATATATATTGCCCTTGGGTGATTTAGATTGAAGTGTCTGCAGCATGCTAATGACACAATTCTAATCTATTTCTCCATGTTACCTGAGTCAGGTGTACTGTGTTGGTGATGAGCAGAGATAGGCACAAACCGCAGTTTGGAGGTTCGGCTCAGTTTGGTGCTGTGCCCACAGGTGTTCTGTGGCTGCTGCACACTCCCTTCTCCTGCCTCCTCTGCACGCTCACCCATTCCCCGGGTGATGCACTCTTCCCTCCCCACCTCCTCAGAGTGACTGCCTACTCACCAATTGTAGTGTGTGCTTACCTCTTCTGCCTCCTCCAGTAACTCCCCACTCAAAGGCAGTGCTGCAGGCTTCCCTGCTCTGCCTCCTTGTCTGAATGGGCAGTTGTCAGAGGAGACAGAGAAGTCTGCACTGCAATCCGTGAGTGGGCAGTCATGCTGAGGAGGTGGGGCAAGAAATTTAGCTAGAAGCTTCAACCAGTACAGCAAGACAGCTACTAGATAAGTCATATTTTGCCGATTCCAGATCAAGTCATATTATGTTTCCATGTATAATTCAAGGTCCTGGTGCTTACTTTTAATTACAAAAAACACAGCTGTGAGATGACACTGCCAAGAGAAATAGATTCCACAATTAAATATTTCCTTCCTCCATTCTACTGCTTCTACAGCTGCTGTGCAATGAAATTACACACCAAGGAAGTCTGTAATTACTTAAAGTCTCCCCCTGCTGGTGACATCATATCCTTTTTGCAGGTGTAACTTATGAAACAGAATTTTGGCCAATATATTAAAATATGATTTCTGTATTTTGTACATCGCCTAACTGCCCAAGAACTAAAGCAGTATATCAGAGATCAATCTGATAATAAAGAAGGAGAGTTTTTTAAAGGTGGGGGGAGTCAGGTAAAAATCCAATCATATGTTAGATACTACTTTTATTAATAAAGGTGTATTGCCAAAAATCTGGTAGATAGCTTTCAAGAAATTTGTTCACCATGGGATAGGAGACAAAGAAAATCTTCATTCATAATCAGCAAGAAAGCTCAGGGAGGGAGATTTTCCACGTATTTATTTGCTCCATTTTTATTTTTCCTCTCTCCCAGAATGAAACTGCAGGGGGCTTATAATTAAACAAAACTAATGGAACTGGAAGATAAATTAATAAAAGCGCAAAAGAAAGCTCTTTCGACAATGTGAGAACACTAGCCAATTGCATGACTGAACAGAAAGGTAGACGGCAGGAAGAGAACAGAGAAGAAGCAAGCCTTGTCTTCCGTAATAGGGAGTTCCAGAGCCCAGGACCGGTCAGAGAGAAACAACTTTCTCATGTATCCACAAGATAGCCTCAGAAAGCAATAGGACTGAGATAAAGTTCCCACCTGAAGGTCATAAACACCAGGCAGGCTTCGGTGGGAGAACGTGATCTTTCAGGTAGCTTGAAAGTCATATAGCTGCACTACAACAGCTAAATGAGGCTAAAACACACAATAAGGGAATAGAAGGGAGACAATTTGTGGGACAGAGTCTGTTCTCCAGTTCTGAATGGCTCCAGCAAACATTTCTTCCCTTTCTTCATAAAACTGGTTGCCTGTATGTGGAGATATTCCATTTTATCTTGCACACCCTTATGGAATGGAGGCCATTTGGCACAGATGTCACCTCACCTGGCTCTGCCGGTCACATGGGTGGTGCACAGGATAGGGATAGAGGCACTCAAACTGGTCGGGGGAGAACAAGATACATCGCTTGTATCCCTTAATCTGAGCAAAGAAATTCTGCTGTTCATCGTAATGCGCTGGAGTCACATTCCCTACATAAAGAAAGGCTGAGACAGTCACCATAAAAGAGACATCCATACCCTACCTTCTGAAGCCACAATTTGAGGAGCTGCCTATACTAAAAATGAAACAGGAAAAAACTGAACTCTAGACTGAACTAAACAATCTTACTGAATATATAATGCAAGAGACCCCTCTGATCCATAGGAGAAATTACTGTTATGCAATCAATTCAAAACCATTTTACAATGTATAATGCAGATGTGCTCTGAATAACCCTAATGCTGGCTTAGAGCCACAGGAAGTACAGTATATTATTTTAAGGCTTTTATTGCAAATGGACAAGGTAGCCTTGAACAGTGTGAATAACTATCATACCATGACATTACAATGCCCTGGCACCAAAGTACGTCAAGCTCCACTTAAATCTTGAGTGGAAACTCGAACAGTGCATGAAAGTTTTCACCTCACATGTTTCATCAATATGTAATTCCTGCAACATTTCTGTTCCTTCTTTCTGTTTACATTTCCAAACTATATTTGAGAATTGGGTGCTTATTTTAGCCAGTTGTGGGGGTCATGTACCATCTGTATAACATTTTGTATATATTCTCTTTAAATGCAACAGATTTAGTTAATTTTATATTTGTTTTCCAAATCTGTCTCCAATGATCCAGCTCAATATTATGTCCTACATTCTGTGCCCATTTAATCATACATACCTTTACCACTTCATCTTGTGTTTCAAAATCTAACAGAAAATTATATAACTTAATAGACTTTCTCTCCGATTCTAGGAGAATTCTGTCAAAAGGGGCATTTTCTAGGTAAAAGCTCTGTAGATTTTCTTTAGCAAACCTTGATAATTGTGATTGCACCCACCAATCCATTTCGGTGCCTTGATCTACTAACTTGCTGTGTTTTTATAGAACCAGCAAGATTTAAAACCTCACTGTATCTTACGATTTTCTTGTTCTCTCTCAGATATGGTAGAGCAAATGCTTCAACTGAAGTCACCTAATGTGGTATTTTGATATACATTTGGTTTTTAACTTTATTCCACATCGACAGAAGAGCCTTCCTTAATATATGGTTGTTAAATTGTTCAAAATCCTCAGCCCTGTTATACCATAAAAATGCATGCCAACCCCATTTCAAGTCATGTCCTTCTGATTTCAGGCGCCTCGTATTTTCCAATGTTATCCACTCCTTAATCCATACCAATGCAAATGCCCTATAGTAAAGAAGCCAATTCCGGAGCCCCATTCCTCCTCTTATTTTTAGGTCTTGTAGGTGCTTAATTTTAATTCTTGGTTTTTTCCCCTGCCAGATAAATTTGGAAATGGTGCTTAATTTTAATTCTGGGGTTTTTCCTCTGCCAGATAAATTTGGAAATGCATTTTTCAAGCTCCTTGAATATTGTTTGTTTTAAACAATCGGAATTGTCTGGAAAAGAAATATGAGTTTTGGTAGAATATTCGTTTTGATTGTAGCAATTCTGCCCATCGTCGACAATTGTAAATTTGTCTAGCTAGAAAGGTATTTCTTAATTTCCTCTATTAGTTTTGAATAATTATCTTTCAAGATCTGAAAAAATATTTTGACAGAACAGCAAAAGTAAAACTTAAAAGGACAAGGAAGAATCTATCTCTCCAAAAGAGTTGCAGGCAAACCTATTAAAGCAAACAAGGAAAGAGTATGGGCTATCTTTTCAGATGTTCCCAAACTGCAACAGTCCAGACAAACCCTATGCTTCCCACACAAAGCTTCTTTGACATCTGCACCTGATCTTTCTCAAAGAAGACACTGTGTCTGAAACTCTAAAGCAGGCAGATAACTCATGATCTCTAACGAGGCCCAGCCTCTACGTCTAGCCCTCTCTATGCAAGAATTTGGCGGGAGGGGGGGAAGCGTTTCACTGGAAACCTAACTGTAGCGGTAATGAATTGTCACAGTTGTAAAGCACCCCCAACACATCTCACCCAGAAAGTTGCCCACATGAAACCACAAACCCTCTGGGTAAAAAAAGTTTCACCATCACTATTCTAAACCCTGCCAAGACTGTAGTTTTCCTTGCTTGTTCAAATGACCAGCCATTCCAACCTTCAATCTCAAAAGATAACCAATAACAATTGACATTCGTGCTTCAAGAATGATGCAAGAATCCTTAACATGGCTACAAATTTCAGTGTGAAATCAATATTAGATGTTTGAGTTCAAAATAGGCAAGATATTCTAGTAGCATCAAAATAGTATCAAAATTAAAGTTCAATAAACAAGTTCAAACTGGAAGCCACATTTAGACCAAGGTTAGGTACATTACCTTCCATGCCAATGAGCAATAAGTTGGATGTCAGCTGGCCCCAGCCTCGCTTTGCCTGCTGCCTGTTAATCCAGTTCCAATTAAAGCCTAGGAAATCCACAACAATTTTCCTCCCAACTGTGTCATTTAGGGTCTGCTGCAGATACAACCTATACATCCCAGAAACCAAGAGAGAAACTTAAACATTGTGAACAGAGGGGGGAAAGGCCCCTTTATAAGTATCCCACAAAAGAGGTTAATTTCACATCAACAAAATGTTCAAGAGTGCAACTCCAATACAGAATTAAGACAAGAAGGTCTGAACACATTTAACCTCTCAGCGTTAGCTTAAGGGCCATCTATTGGCCCAGATCGTTCAGAAGCTGACAAGATGCTATTGCAGCAAATTATTTTAAACCTACCTAGTTCCTGTCTCATTTTTGGCCTTAGAAATGTGAGCCCATCTACAAACCCTTTAAAGAGCGGGCTTATAATTGTAGTGAACACATAAGAGACTCAGAATGCCAATGAAATCATCCATCAGTACTCCCGATGCATAAGACACAGAGTTGTGCATCCTATCCTCCTCAGGAACCACCTCTCTACTGCTGTCCATCTTCTGTGGCACAGCCTTTCCTCTGTGAGCCCAGACATGAAGTGAGGAAATACAGAGTGAGACGCAAGACATTAACTGCCAATGCACTGGCACTAAGATAATCTTCTCACTGATGTGAAGCTCTTTTATTTTGGCAGGTTCTCAGGGAAGATGCAACCTATTCTTCTCAAGATAGGTTAACATGGCCAACCATATGGTTTGCTACAATTCTAATCAGCCCTGTCAGCAGGAAGTGATGGGACTTGTAGTTCAACAACTCTGTAACAGCTCAATGGTTTAGGCCTCTTGCTGTGTGGAGTCAGAGGTTGGTAGTTTGATCACTGTGCCTCCTTGACAGGGGCTAGAATTGATGATCCATAGGGTCCCTTCCAGCTCTGTAATTCTAAGAGTATTAATATTATTAAATATCTGTAAGCCCAGATATTCCTCATCCTATGTAAACTGTTTTTGTTTTAAACTGTACTTAAATATGCTGACTTTTTTCTTGGAAACTGCCTTGAATTTTGGAGGTGAATGACACAAATGTTTTAACCAGAAGAATGACTTGGACTCAGACAATGGGATAAGTTGGCTGAGCCAGACAGGGCATTAATTTCAACAGGACAAAATCTGATTTATCTTGACTGGGTGGAAGGCTTCTTCTTAAAAACAGCGTATACTCAATCATATCACCATGTAACGCAATCTACAATCAAGACATATCCTTCCCCATAATCAACAGAAACAGGAAGCACAGATATTTCCGCCCTCTCCCCTATGCACCACCTTTTTTGCTTAAGAAATTCTCAGCTGTTACACTTTCCAGTTGAGGAGAGGAAGCTTCAGTACAGCTTCAGTACAGAAACTACTTCCTTCCTCTGTCACCCTGAATGCTCCCTCAAGGGAGTATATTTAAGATGACTTGCTAAAAGGATTGGTAAAAATTAAACTGCAGTTTTTAAATCTACGTTTTGTGTTATTGTTGTTCGTTGTTTATGTTTGCAAGTTTTAAAATGCATCCAGATTAAAATGGTTTTTATATTCATACTCCTAGAAACATTGTTGATACAGTACTTATAGATCTCCAAAATAAAATAAATAAAAGTAATTGTAACTTGAAATTCAGCACATTCTGCATACTAGGAAGATGGCCTGTCCTCAATCATTCTCAACACTGATGCTAAGACATTCGTACTAATGGATGTGATCCGGCTTCTTCAGGAAGAAGCCTAGACATGTTAAAAGGGAAAACTCTCTTAAAAGCAGCAGGCATAAAATCTGGCCGTGTGAAAATGGGATAATCGAACCTGAATCAACTTCAACAATAACAGAACTACAGCTGCTGAAAAGCATCCTCCCACCCCTTTCCCCTTGTAAACTAAGCAACTTTGTGGGGTGTTGACCAGGATAAATACCTCATGCAAAAATCCTTCAATGTATCCTATGGTCAAACCAGCTCTGCAGGATATTTCAGGAAGTAACAAAGGATGATCCTAAACAATTTAAAATAAATCTTTGTTGAGCTTCTGTGAATTGCAAATGTTACCGCATCACCTACTGCTAGCACCTGAATTCCAGAACTTTCTGGACAGAGACTTTGCTTTTCATGAAGGGGGGAAACTAGCCTCTCCCATGAACAGTTGCACTAATGCTGCAGAACACTGAAACAAAATACAACACAGATACCTTTGCTCTTTTAATCAATGTCCTCTAAGTACATAGGACACAAAAGGACCAAGCAACTAACCCACTGACATACATTACCTTTCTCCACTACCCTGTTGTTGGATGTCCTGTAGCTGCTCAACGAAGGTACTGAATTTCATCTCTTCTCTGCTTGACTTGGGCTTGAAATTCTTAACATTTGCAATTTTCTTCTCGTCATAATACAGGAACTTGTGAGTAGTGGCTCTATATACTGAAAAGTCCCCATTCCCAATGTTTTCCTGGAGGTAGTCCACGTCCCATTTTAGGGCAGTATATACCAAATTTGTATCTGTCAGTACCACTGGCTCCTAGAAGAAAGTATATAAAGCAAATCAACACAAACTTCCGAGAGGGAAGGTATACAGCTCACAGTAATAGTCTGATTTGTTTCAGAAGTAGAGATACGACAGAGAAAGAAAGCTGGCAGACATCATGGGACAGGCCTCATTGAGAATCTCAAAAACAACAGCCATTATGTTCTGTAAAATCACTGTATAGGTATAACATTATACACCGATAGCAAGGACATGAGGGAGACAATCCTTCCTCTCCATTAGTTAAGCTGTTCTTAGTACAACTGCACTTGGAGGTCCAGGATGCTACCCGTGCCTCCCCTTTCTGTGCTCACGGTTCCCACGAACCGGGTGACAAGGCATTCATGATACAGTGGTGCCTCGCTAGATGACAATCCATTCCACTGAAATCGCTGTTTAGCGAAATCATTGTCTAGCAAAAAGCATTTCCCCATTGGAATACATTGAAACCTGTTTAATGTGTTCCAATTGGGAAGATTCGTCATTGTCTAGCAAAGATCGGCCATAGGAAAGCTGCTTTATGAACCACCGATCAGCTGTTTAAATAGCTGTCTTGAGAAGCCTGGGTCCCGAAAACACCCGTTTTGTGAGCACAGAGGGAGCTGTCAAAATCATCATCCAGCGAAAATTGGTTTGCGAAGCAGGGACCAAACATTGTCCAGCGAAATTCCCCCACAGGAATCACTGTTTTGCGAATCGCTCAAACGATCGCAAAAAGCCAGTCTAGCGACAAAACTGTCATGCGGGGTAACCGTCTAGCAAGGCACCACTGCCTTGTCACCTGGACATAAGGCAAACTTCCTGTCCACAATGCCAAGACAGGGAATCAACGCGACTCAAGCTACGTCCTCCCTTAAGCTGAATAAACAGCAGGATCCTGCGGGCAAGGCTGGGCAACGCTCACAAAACGGGCAGCCCCTCAGAAGGGCAGCTTGGTCTTCTGCAAATTTCTGGCAGGCATCGTGGTTATGGGTATCAACCTTACCAGAACATCTGGAAAGGGAAAGACAAGGCTTCTGCCCTGCTCAGCCAGCCCGCCAGCCCAAACGTCTACAAGCTGTGGTCCCCAACCTCGGTCCTCCAGATGTTCTTGGACTACAACTCCCAGAAGCCTTCATTCCCCACCTCTGCTGGCCAGGATTCCTGGGAGTTGGAGTCCAAGAACATCTGGAGGTCCAAGGTTGGGGACCCCTTGGTCTCCAGGATCCAACTCTGCTCGAAGGATACGATCCGGGGCAGCTAGGTTGGCACACACGCCCACCCCGTCCCGGCTGCCCCTCCCTCGCCCGAAGGAGGGTCCCTCCCTTCTCCCCTGGAGCGGGAAGCCGGCGCTCAGGCTCCGCCCGTCACCTCGTTCTCGATGAGCTCTTCGGCGCGCGGGTCTCCGTGGCGCAGCCTCGGGATGGGCCGCGTCTCGAAGGTGTACGGACGGAACTGGGCTTCGCTCCACCCGCGCCCTTCCCTCCCCGCGGCCTGGGCAGAGGGAGAAGAAGAGCCGCCGCCGCCGCCACCACCCGGCGCAGCGGCGGAGCAGGACGCGGAAGGTTCCGCCATCGCCGCCGCGCTCGGACCGGACCCCCGCGACTCGAAGCGCCTTCTTTCGCCACCGGAAGCAACGTACCAGGGCCGCCGGAAGTGCCTCTGCACAATGTGGTGTTTGTTGTTGTCGTCGTCGTCGATGATGGAAGAAGAGCAGCGGTGGGCGGGGGGTAGAGCGGCCCCGGCGGGCGCCTATGAAGCAGCGCCCTCTAGTGGTTGGCCTTTCGAAAACCCGGCGTCGCGACGACCTGCTGGCAGAGCTTTCTTAAGACGTTGAAACGGTGGCGATGCTCTTCGCTTTTTGAGAGGCTTTCTTTCTTTCCCTGGAGGTTTTCTAGGTGTTCGATCCACCCCAGGGTACCGTAAAACCTGTTTGCTCGAGAAGGAGCGGTGGTGTGCCCAAACCGCAGAGGGAATCCTTTTAGGCTGGAATGCAGGCTTCCTTTATTAGGCTCTTGCTGTCATGTGCTAAATCACTGCCAACTTTGGGCGACCCTAATTCGAATTTTCCGGCGCATGGCATGTTCAAGGAGTGATTTACCACTGCCAGCCCCACCCCTCCATGGCCATGGAGGGATGTGAATCCACATTTCCTGAGTCTGACCCTCTGGCCAGTTACACCATACTGACTTGTCTAGCTTGGTTGTTGTCCTTTAGTCGTCAGATTCTTCGTGACCCCATGGACCATTTAGCTGCTTTTAATTTTAATAGGTAAGAACAGTCTGCTGACTTGTGTTCAGGTGGCTGGGAATTGTCCTGTTCCCCATCCTCCTTGTATCCGGGAGGACGATATTTGCACTTCAAGAAAGGAGAGAGATGGCCTTGAAATCAGTTTTGAGGTTTCTGCAGGAACAGGAGGATCACTGGGTTTGCCTAAAACAGTGTCTGCTCCAACTTTTGGTCTTGTAAATTAAAAGGTGTTGCTACCCCTATGATTTTTCCAGGCAATTTGTGTTAGGAAGAAGTGATTGGTTAGACCAATACTTAATGCAGGACCTCTATGGGATATTCAGAATGAGAAAAGACATTTAGAGGAGGGATCGCACCAAACCTCTACCTGGCATGAGACAGCAGGTACATAGGAGTGCTTGGTGCTCACATATACAGTACATTAAACTCTTGAATGCTCCAGTGCTGTCATTTACAAATGTTGCAGCATGCCCCTTTGTTGCTTGAGACTGAGAAGAGACTACGTAATCATCTTAAAAACTGTTGAAGTTATTTCAGCATCATATCCTGCCTTTAATAGATTCAACTGGGAGGGACCTTTCTGTGTAGGAGTGACTGTCAATCAGTCCGGCAGTAACCAATTGTTTATTCCCTTCCTCTGGTTTTAAACAGAGCTGCTCTGTGCCTTTTCCCCCTCTTTTTTTTATTCTCCTGGCAGTTAAGATACAATTAGCAGTGCAGTTAGAATGGAATCTACAGGAATGTGCTGGAAGGTGTGAGAGGGTGAAGGAGCAAGTTTACTGTTTCAGTCCCTTAGTGAGTTTCCATGGTTGTGCAAAAATTTGAGCCCATATCTTCTAAGTTTTATACAAACACTCTGTACTATGACTACCAGGGATGGCAAGTCTTTGGGTTCAAGTCTGAGTATTTGGTGCCAAGTCCAGAGTCCCAAGCCTCGAGTCCAAATCCCTATTAAAAGAAAGCTTTTTCCTCAGAAAAAAAAGGGGTGGGTGGGGTCTGAGTCATTGAAAAAAGAAACCCTGAGTCACGTCACCAGTACAACCTAATTCCAACTTGACATAAAGTCCTGTGACTTGAGTCTCCATCCCTGACAATGGCTCTCTTCATAGAAGAATTACGTAACTTCACTGTTGAGAGTGAAGAAATTTCAACTGTTAAAGATGTTCTGTGCCTCTGTTCAATCATCAACCCAAATGGAGATTGCAGCCCAGACATCAGAAGACTGAAACTTGAAAGAGCAACTATGAAGGAACTAAAAACAATTCTCAAGTGTAATGATGAGTGGGGTGTTCGCCCTTGTGGCCCCTGCTTGTCTTTCCCTCACAAAGGCTCATGTCGCATTTTCCTCTCGCTGCCACCAGTGGATTACCTCAATCCACAATATAAATGATGTTTGTCTGAACACTTGACTTGTGAACAGAAACAGAAATTATTTATTGAAGTGAAGCAGATTGATAAACATTTCTTAGATAAACATTATAGACAAGCAAATCATCAACAGTTCTCTCAGTACATACTTTTTTTCTATTGCTATATCATTACCACTTTCTCTGCCTATTACCCTAACCAGTTCTATCTCCCCCAGTATCTGTTCCTTCTCTCTCTGACTCCTCCTTCTCCCGCCAAGCCTCATGCAGCTGCTGACTCCACCTCTCCAGTTCTCTCATTGTGGTCGTTGTTTAGTGGTTTAGTCGTGTCCAACTCTTCGTGACCCCATGGACCAGAGCTCTTTGTTGATGTATAACTCGGACATTTGAAACCCAAACTTGCAGGGCTTGTAAATAAGAGTTAGGGAAAACCTCACTGAAAATTTGGTCTCTCTCTCTCTCTCTCTCTCTCTCTCTCTGTCCTATGATTAACCCCAAATACATGCCTCAGTCATTAATTAAGCCTGTGATTACTTTCTAATCACCAAATATCACAACAAACGCTAAATGCAAGGTATGTTGAGGTATGTCTGATGGGAACAGAGGAGGAAGCCTTCTTTGTTGTTGCTCCCAGACTTTGGAACTCCCTCCCACAGGAGGCCAGACTGGCCTCATCTTTGCTGTCCTTCCGTAAGCAGGCAAAGACCTTTCTCTTCAGGCAAGCTTTCCCTCAGTGACCGGATACCTGAATATGATTTTTAGATGAATTGTTATACATTACCACCTTAACTGGGTTTTTAATGCTACTTATGTTTTCCATTTCTAAGTGTAGCATTTGCTTGATCCTTTTTAATACTGTATTTGTATACTTATGTTTTTTAGTGTTATATTGTCTACTACTGGTTTAACTGCCTCTTCATACTCATTGTTTTCAGTTTTAAATATTGTCTTTCAATGATGTACCTGGGGTCCTTTTTAAAGAGAAAGGCAGCGTAAAAATATTTTAAATACATAAATAATATATAGGTATGTAGGGTGTGTGTGTGTGTACATATGTATGTGTATATATACCGTACATACATTACACACACACACACACACACACACACACACACACATAAATGACACAGAGGTAGTTAAGGTTAAGGTTCCCCTTGACAATTGTCCAGTTGTGTCCAACTCTAGGGCGCAGTGCTCCTCCCTGTTTCCAAGCCATAGAGCTAGTGTTTGTCCGAATACAGTTTCTGTGGTCATGTGGCCAGCGTGACTAGACACAGAACGCCATTACCTTCCCACTATGGTGGTATCTATTTATCTACTCACATTTTTACATGCTTTCTAACTGCTGTGTTAGACATGGAAATACATGTCTACAAATCTATCTTTTAAAAGCAGAAAAATAGAGGAAAGATGGCTAACAAAGGAACAGTGGGGGAAATCCTCTGCTGTTAAGTTAGTGGCAAGTACATGGCATTCTCCCCACTGACCTCTGGTCATTAGAGGAGAGAGCTTTACAGATACCGTTGACCACCACAAAGACAAATGGCCCAAAGGGGACTTGAATCCAAGTCTCTTGGACCCTAGTCTGGCACTCTGTCCACTGTGCTAATTCTCAGGCAGCTTGCCATTGCAAAAATCTGATTAACTTAAAACCAAAAGAAATTCAAACAAAAATATCACAGGCAAAACACATTTGCGGAAATGGGAGGCGCAAAACCCATGTAATTTTCTCTCGTTTTTCAACTCATTTATAGTATCAGTAAGAAGAAACAGGAATTATGCAGAAAAATATATACAGTTTTTTCTCTCTCCTAGTTTATGGTAATCAAGAAGTTGACACTTCAAGGCAAATATTAAATAGTTGCAACAAATACTCTTGATAGTGCAATATAATAGACGTTTCAGTTTTGTATTACCATGGTTGCATGATATATCTCATATTACTGTGAAGTTTGTTTTTACTTGTGTGAATTGTATATTTTTGATTTATGCCTTTTTCATGTACAGTGAAAAACAGATGCTATTTTATTGTTTGTGCCATTCTCCACTCTCTTCACCTCCATACTAAAATATGTTTGATTTAATCAGCTTCAGTTATAATAATATTGACGTAAAAAACTTAAAAACTTCAGTGATGTAATTTTTCACTCCATATGGCACATTCTAGCAAGCATTAATGAGGTTTTAGAGGGTAGAATTTTGTGGGACTGAAGGACCACTTCCAAATAAGATCAATTTTGCATTTCACCTCATTATGCAAATTGCTTTTTTTGGGAATGGTATCAATATTATTAAAGTTAATATCCAAATCTAATTGTCTTGTTCTGGCAGAGCTGGGGAAATATAAAAAGCTCCAACAGCATGCTTATTTTCAGATTTATTTCTTTTTCTTAGCTCAGCCGATGCATTATCTTGCATAAGATCAATATTAACATTAATGAAGTCTACATTTTGCTTCATTACATAAAATCTAGAGTAGTGGTTCCCATTTTTTCTGCTGTTATTCACATCAGCCCTAATGGGGAATGTCTCTGTAACGATCTCTGTTATAAACCTCTGTGCCGTTTCTGATTATTTATCATTAAACCCATTTTTTAACTAATAACGTTAGTTCTAAACATACTAATTTAGTGAGGGCAATGATAAACCAGGTATACCTACATTTAACAGCAAAATATTTAAAGTATGAACATATTGCTCCCCACCTCACTGGGGGGAAAATAAAATGTAGTCAGAAACCAATCTTTTTTGTTCTGTTATGCTTGCTAAAGAGTCTTCGAATTCCAGAAAGAACCATGCATCAGCAGATCAGAATACTCTGTGCAAGAAATCTACATTTCACACATCAGCTGGGATATTAAGGTGTAACATTACCTTGATAGAGCTCAATCATCAGCTGCAGAAGTGGGGTGTGTCAGAGAAGGAATATATTAAGTTATGTCAGAGCCTTTTCAAGGCTCCAGGGACAGAGGAATTGCATTTCTGGTGCGGAGAAAAACATGGAGTTTCGCCTCTTCCC